CTATCTGCCCTATTTCAGACAGCAGCTTATCACCCGCCCACTGTTGGCCCTTCTGCCTTTCCAGTCTTTGTTTACTGAAAGTTTGCATGGAGATCAGCTCCTTTCCACTCCCTCCTTCTCAGGTGTGCTCAGAGCACACCCCCTCTGCTGCATGGTCCTTTTCACTCCCTTGTTTATTCAGGGTTTTTTGTTGTTGTTGGGGTGGGGGTCAGTCTGTCCAGGGGGTATGCTGGTTTATCCCAGGGGAATACCGTGTGCCGCTTATTTGCTCATCTGTTGGTCTGCATCTCCCAAGGAGGTTTGGAGCTGGCATCTGGTGGCATAGGACCCCTCATTTTCTCAATGTAACTTGGTGTGGAGAAGCTATGTATGGGCTGGGGGTTCAGGGTGTTGGAGTTTTGATTCTTCTTGGTGGTTTTTTCCTGCCAAGTGTGGTTCTAGCATCTCAGCAAAATTTTTGATTTACGGAGCTCACGCTGACTGCTTCTGCTCTCTAGTCTCCATCTTGGATCCCTCTAAATACTTTCTTTATAAGCATTCCTTTGCACTTTTGATCTCTCTCTTCCTGTCTCTCTGGTTTTAATTGTTTGTTTGTTTGTTTGTTTTTCTATTTACCTTTGAAGGAATGCTGGCTTGGTGAGAATAGGAATGTCTCCTGGAATAATTTTTCCTGCCCTTAAATATAAACGCCAAAGGGTTCTTGTTCCTTTTAATAAAAAAGTGTTAAGGGTAAAGTCTGTTCTACAGTATGCATATTAGATGTCTTCACATAATTACTCAGGATGAAAAGGATGATATGAAACAAAATCCTCTTAAAAATATCCTGTGTTTTTATTTGTAGTTCACCTTTGGCTGTATTTAAGATTTTATTTTGTTCTGTGGATTTAATCCAGTTTTCCTTTTTGAATGACCATTTGTTAAATTTTAATGCTGTCCTCAAGTTTTAGGTTTGTCATGTGTGTGATACAATGAAGAATATGAGATATAATACATTTCTACTGTTGCAGTCCCCTTTCTGATAGTTACCAATAACAGCAACTACCCAGTCATTAAAAGAAGAAACCTAATTATACTTGGCTTCTCCCTTTCCTTTCCTTTTCCTCAAAGGACTCTTACCCTCCCAATAGCCTATTCTTAAAGATTTTGTTCCTAAATATGTCATTAATTTGTATCCAATTCAAGGATTTTTCCCTTCTGCAACTAGACTATTATTATCTAATGTATGATGTTTTTTTTTTGGAGACAATGTCTTGCTACGTAACCCAGGCCAGCCTCAAACTTGCAATCCTTCCACCTTATCCTCCCAATTGCTGGGAATCCAGACACATGCTACCATGCCCAGATTATTTTATGTAAGCAAAATAAGTCAGTAGCAACCATAGATAATTATTTTCTTGTGTGATTTTACTCAGTACAATATTATATGCCTTTTTATTTGTCAATAATCATGTTTCTTACATTAGTCAGCTTATTGCCACTGTAACAAATACTTGAAACAAACAACTTATAAAGTGAAAGTATTTATTTTGGCTTACTGCCACTCCATGATTGAGCAGACACTTTGCTCTTAGGTCTCTGATGGAGGGACAGCACATCATGGTGGAAGTGTGGGGTAAAGCAAAACCTCTGACCTCATGGCAAAGAAGCAAAAGAAAGAGGAAGTAACCTAAGTTGAAAACTCAAGCCTAGATTGGGGGAGGAGCTTTCTCCTGACCCACAAGCTAGGTAAACCTTTCGGGTCACTTCTGAAGCATCCTACTAGTAGAAATTAGTGTAGTACACACTTTCTAATTTCCTCTCCTTGGCACCTCTTTTCCTTCCAGCATCTGTTTTTTCCCTGTGATCCATCTGAAGGAACAGTCATTCCTTATCTTTAAGTGTCTCTTACAGCATGAGGAATTTCATCTAATTGAGTCCATGATAGCACAGGATTGGGCTATAGGCCTGCAACAAAGGAAATGTCTTAATAATGAGAGAAGAACTTACTTGGAATAAGCTTTTTTCTGAGGTGGTGGTCTAAAAGGAAAAAGCCCAGTTTCATACAAAAGAGTGAAGCAATAGGGGCAGAGAGAGGAAATGTTAGATTAGAGATCTGAATGAGCACCCAGGAAAAGGAAACAGCTGGTGCTTAGAAACCTGGCAGGAATGGCAGAGACAGAATCTAGAAGTAACCTCTAGGCATGTCTTCAACCCAGACAGAGGTGGGGAGGACAGTTCTTACCTTGTGCTGAAATAGATGTAAGCGATCTGAGTGAAGACTTTTTAGATTTGAGATCCAAATCACAGCACCAAAAATGTTACTAGAAAGTCAGTGCAGCTATCTACCTCAGTCCTTGCCTCTTTTGAGAGAAGAGTTGAGGTAAAATGTGAAAATGTAGCAAAAGTGCTAAAAGTTTATCAGGAAATAAATAACACTCATTAGACTGAAAACAGGTTGTCTCTAGAATAAGAATGAGAACTAGCACATATGTTCTTTTAAGTATGATAACTTCTATAAATTTTTAGAATCTTTTAATATTGTGTTCTTATCCCTGGGACTACACATAATTAAAGGTAGATAAAGGCCATAATTTAAAATCCTTTGTAGAAATTTCAGGTCTGCCACTTAAAATTAATTAATACACATTAGACAAAACATTATTCTGTACCTTACTTTCTAGGCAGTATCCTAGAATTAATTTGTTTTTGAAGTTAGGAATTATATTATGACATGAACAAAGTGGTTTTTTAAGTTACAGATAATGGAATTTTCAGTGATTTCATAGTAAATGAATCTGTTGGACATACTGAAATAAATAGCCACTCTAGTGTAGTTCAGGTACTCTTACAGGTGGGGTTAGAGAGACATGCTAATGAAACCAGAGCCATAAGTTCAGTTGCCACATGTGGAGAAGGTTTTAGCATTATTCCATAGCTATAGCCCATCCCTCAGAGTGTATGGAAATTATGCCAGTTCATAAGGGTTGCTGGGCAAACTGAATATATTGAAATAGTTAAAAATCCAGTACCTTTATCAAGTACTTTAGTGATATTATTTTTGCGTATGAAGATATAACAATTACTTAAGAAGACTGTAATATATTGATCCTTTAACTTCATATTTCAAGATCAGTACTTGCTATAAAATAATGTGCAATCAGTCTGATTCTTACATGCCAGATCATGTTGTATATAACTTCTTCCCAGATGTGATGAAGAATGTTCTCCATTCACTGAAGCATAGTTAACTGTATGCCTTACTCTTATACCTGCTTTTAGGCATAGTATTGAAAGAATTATTTAGAACTATGCTGTGGCTTATCCTACTATTTCAAATATTTCACTTAAAGTCACAGCATGGGAGGAGGAAGAGAATGGGGGGTAAGGGGGAGAAATGGCCCAAACAATGTATGCACATGTGAATAAATGAATAAATAAAAAAATAAAGTCATAGCATGGCAGCAAATATCATTGTACTAAAATGAGAATAATTACATTAGAATTAGCGTTAAATGAACATTTCAATTTAAAATGATCTTTCTGCACAATCTTTGTTACTAATGCATATCTTGCCTTTCTGATTTGTCTTATCATTGAATTAAGTATGTAGTGAATCTGACATTCACTATAAGATTGTTTTTGGGAAAAATATATTATTTCAAGAGACAACATTAAGTGAATTATAAATGGCTAGGTTTATATACATAGAAGTAAAAAGTTTTCACCTGATGGTTATTTACATATAGATTCATAAAAGAAAGACCTTTGAAAGTTTTTATCAGTATGCTAGAATTTATGCCTTTACTTGTGAAGATAGAACTAGTTTCAGCTGCTATAAACTGAAATCTACAATACTGATGTCCTTTCTGACCCCTGGCTATTGCATTTTCATACTTTTTTAAATACTTACCTTATTTTGCTTTGAAATTATGTTATGACTAGAGTTCAGTGGATAAAAGTATTTCCTTTCCATCCTTACCCATCAAAATGTTACGAAATACAGCTTGTCAGCTACAATTTGGGAAAAAATGTGTTATTCCTCTTTCACTTTACACTTTTACATGTTGAACACTAATTATTCTTTATGAGTTATATGCTTAAAATGCACTCAGATATGAAATAAGGCCCATGCAGTTAATATGCATCATAGTTAATATCCTAAATGTAACAAGGTACAATTTTAAAAGTTTACCAAAGCATACTTGATGTATCTGTAAGCAAGTCAGTGAATCTACAGATATTTTTCTTTTCAGTAAATTAAAAACTCTCTCTGGGTTGCATACTAATTATTCCTTGGGAATATCCATTTGGGGGCTAATATTTGCAAACACAGTGACATTATCAAACTAACTTAGAAAAGAATCATTTTGTCATTTCTAAGCCAGATAAAGCAAACTTCCTTTTGATGTGTTTGCCTCTTAAAGAGAGGTGATCAGTTCCAAAGTATATAAAACATACAGTGTAAATGTTCAATCCTGGCTAATTGGGAGACTGAGATTGGGAGGATAATGGTTTGAAGCCAGCCTGGTCAAAAAATTCATATGACCCCATCTCAACAGATAAAAGCAAGTATGAAACCCTAAGTTCAGACCCCACTACTGCCAACAAAACAAAAAAGCATAATATGTAGTATTTGAAAGGGACAAGAGATGTGCATTAATCATGAACTTGGAGTTTACTACTTTTTTTTCTGTATGTACAAATAGTTATGGTAACATTACAGCCTAGTGAGTGCATTGAAATCATTTAGCAAGTTCTGAAATAGTCTTTGGGGAATCTAAAGTAACAGATTATTTTTTTCCAATTTTATATCGAATAGGTTCTCACCTAAGCCATTAAAATTTCATTTAAATCAGAAAGGTTGTAATGAATAGTAAGATCATGTGCATTTTGAATTAAACCCTCTTTGAGTATAACTGTGAAGTTCAGGTGACATTTATCTAGGAGTCTGTGTTTAGTGATGCATTATCACGTATCATTCTTGACCTTTAATAACCTAATTATTCTCTTGCTTATTACAGCTTTAGTAGAATTACTTGAAAAATTTGTGCTTCATCTCACTGAAAATGCATCTGAATGTTACTTCCCCTCAGTGGAATATACAGGTACATTTTAAACATTTTGAAGTTTGAAAAATGTTCCAGTCTCAAACATAGTATTTTTTTTCACTTTTTTTATTGTTGTGCTGGGTGGGGGTACATTGTAGCATTTGCAATAATTCTTAAATATGTCAGATAACAGTATTTCATAGAGGTGTGTGATTACAAATATATGCAAGTTTTCCTATCCAAAATATCTGCTTATCTCTTCCTTGATGTCATATATGTTCCAGAGATCGGTCTCTGTGAATGTCTATGTTTCATTGTAATTCTGGGACTTTTTGTCTATTCATTAGAAATTGTTTGTCCTTAGGTGTACTGTCTCCCACTCTTCCAATTTTATCAGTGATTTCTAGTGATCTTATCTTATTTTTTCTATTTTACTGTCTTACTTTGTTTTCTGTTGTCATATTTTAATACCAAGGACTAAGTAAATTATTAATAATAAAAGAGGTATATTTTGGTTCACTGTTATGGTCCAAGTTTGAAAGGATACATCTGGTGATGCCTTTCTTGCTAGCAGAGTCTTGAAGTGGGGAGGGACATCATGTGGTAAAAGACTGTGTATGAGTTCTGTTCTCTCCTTCATATAATGCCTCCAGCATACAATAATGAAGACTCTACCCTTATGACCTCATCTAGCCCAAATCACCTCCCAAAGATCCACCTCTAAAATGCTATTGTCGGATTAGGTTTCTATTCTCTTATACCTCATGTTGTAGGTTAAGCTTCAACATGAGTTTTAGAGGAGACAAACCATATTCAGGCTATAACATTGATCTACCTTGTATAAATTAATGACTTAAAAATTTATGCCCTGTGCTTAAAGATCTATTATAAATTTCCTTCTTGTAATTCTACTTGCCTAGTAGTTAAGCAATGCCTGGATGGTCCCCTCAAACTAAAAATGTCATCAGGGACTTCACCTCATCAGCCCTTATTGACGTATATTTTCCTTTTGCATTTTCTATCTTGGTAGGCAGTGCAGTTATGTACTAACTATGTAAGCCAGAAAGTGAAGAATCATCACTGACTTTTACAGTCCATGTTCCCCTTGCAGTTACTAAATTATATTTTTTCTGTATACTTAATATATCTCAAATTTATCTAGTTCTGTCTATCTTTACTCTTTTTGGGGGGGGCAGGGACACTGGGGTTTGAACTCAGGGCTTTGAGCCATGCCTCCAGTCCCATCTTTACTCTTTATGTTAGTTCAGTCCAATATCACCTCTTCCCTAGGATATTATGGCAGAGTCTTTACATGGTGTTTCAGAATGGGGTCTGTTTCTTTTACAAAGGTTTTTTTTTTTGTACTGCTGTCAGAGGAAACTAAAGTAGAGATCTGGATCCATTCATTCTCCTTCCCCTTAGAAGTTCATTATTGACCACTGCAAAAAGTGGGCCTTATATTTTTGTGCCCTTTCCTTTTTCTACAGTGTCATCCCTTTTTCTCCATACATCATGTTTTTTTGTCAACAGCACTAGTCACACCACTGTCAACTTCTCCCCACCCTGGACACGCACATACATATTCATTTATTCAACAAATAGATGTACCTAACTATACTAACACTTTTCTAGTCACTGAGACACAACAGTGAACAAAAGAGAGAAAAATATTGCCCTCATGGAGTTCGCTTTCTGGTGGGACGACAAAATAAGTAAGAAGTTCACTATGTGCAATGGTATGGTGATCAATGAGAAATATGAAACACAGAGCAGAGATAAGAAGTGCTAGTTGTGGACCAGGTGCAGTGGCTCCTGCCTGGAATCCCAGCTATGGGGGAAGGGGAAATTGGGAGGCTCACAGTTCAAGGCTAGCCTGAGCAAAAAGTTAGTGAGACTCCATTTCAATCTACAAGCCACATGTGATGATGAATGCCTGTGATTGCATCTGTGTGGGAGGCATAACTGGGAGGATCTCAGACTAGGCCAGCCCAGGCAAAAACATCAGACCCTACCTGAAAAATAACTGAAAAAAAAAAAAAAAAAAAGCCTGGGGGCATGGCTGACGTACTAGAGCACTTGTATGAGGTTACAGTATAAAATAGTATTCACATAAAGTTTCTTTGATGTCATGATTTTTGCAAAACAACCAGCAGTGGGTAGGGGAGACAAGATAAATGAGTATTTTCATAGGAAAAGAGTGCCAGAAGAGATTAAGGGCAGGATTGTTAGTGTTGATACAAGAGGGGAGCAAGTGATACAGGGTTTTCAAAGTCATTTCAGGATTTTGATCATATGAGTGATATGCTGATTTGTGCTATTTATGTGGGGAGTTTAAACCCAGGGCTTCATGTATCTAACTCAGGTGCTTTACCTCTTGAACCATGTCCCCACTCTTTTGTTTACACCTTTACCCAGGCTGACCTTGAACTCAGGATCCTCCTGTTCTGCCTCCCAAGTAACTAGAGATACAGGCATACACACCACACTGTACACCTGCATTTTATAGGACCACTGTTGCTACCATGTTGAATAAAGACTAAAGGAGGACTAAAGACTAAAGCAGAATGATGAGTTATTCTATTGAAATGATCCAGATGAAAACCTGTAATGACTCAGATGAGGATTCTAGTTGTGAAGATTGTGGGAAGGACTTGAATTCTGAGAGCATTTTGAAAATAAGGCCAACAGGATTAGATTAAAAGGTTGTACATGGGATGTGAGAGAAATGAAGAAGTCAAGGAAGACTCCAAGCTTTTATTCTGAGCAACTGAAAGGGTAGAATTACCATGTAGTAAAGATGAAGAAGTAGGAGGAATGAGGAGATGCAGTGTGACAAACTAGCTTTTGCTTTTATGATGCTACATTTTAGATACTTATCAGACATTAAAGTAAAATATGCTGTGTACATGCTACATTTGTGTTTCTGAAGTTTAGGGGAAAGATATGATCTGGAAATGCAAAATTCTAAACTGTTAGTGTGGTCTGTTAAGTCAGTAATACATCTCATTGTCATTTCTTTCTCAAATTCTGACCTAGTGTCTGATGCTTGACTTGTTTAAAACTCCTATGAAGTTAGTTTCTTTGTCTTACCCATCATTGTGTCCTTTAAACCTAGAATAATAATCACAATAAATGTTTGCCAAATAAAAGAAAGAATGGTTACAAGAATGAATAGGGCTTTATATACTGTGGCAATGAGTTTATCTTAAATGGTTTTCTCTATCACATGTTAAGATTTCTGAAGAGAAGCTTTATTTAATTCATCTCTACCTTAGGAAGATTATTTTAGTAACAGTGTAAATGGTGAATTAAAAGAACTGAAATTTTCCAGTGGTGAATATCTTGTATTTAAGGGGGAATGAATAAAGGGACAGTGAAGAATGTAGAGGTAACATGGACTCATGATGGTATACCATCAAGGGTAATTGCTTATCTTTACCATAAGGGTAACATGACTTCTCCATTTGCTGGAGAAATCATCCAAATACATGTTATTTATTCCAGCTAGATACTTATATAAGCCATGTTTCCATGAAAAGAAAAAAAAAATGCACATTTCCAGGCTGGGTCATTCTGTCTTTCTTGTTTTATTACCCATATGTACACCCAAACTTATCTATGCCTTCACCTTATTGAACCTTTGCTCCTGTTGTTTCTTTTGGATTGCCATTTCCCTTGCCATGACACCGTCATGATAATGTCCAACTCAATTGTAAAGTTTCAGTTAGAATATCACATTAACTTTTAATCTTAAATTAGAAGTCCCTCTTCTTTGCTCTTTTTACATTCACTTTAATCTACCATTTGTGTCATCATCTTGTCTGGATAAATTGTTCCATTGAATCTCAAACTCCATTTTTGCCTTCCATGTGGTATTTGATAAAATATACTTGTGTTATATATGAAACTATAGTCACACAAATAAAATTACACAATAATTCTAAATGTGCTGATATTTAAATATACAGATGAAGCTATAGCTAGTTATTTACCCATAGTTACAACTAATGTAAAATTTGTAAAGGGATAAAAGAAATCATAAGAGGATGAAAACAAAGAAATGAAAATAAACTAACATAAATTAAGGTAGGTGAAGAGAATTGATATCTATTGAACACCTCTTATAAACTGGATGATGTGTTGATGCACTTCATATACATTTGGTCATTCAACCATATAATTGTTGTCTGAAATAGGCATAATCATATTTTAAATGAGGAAACTGAGACACAGAGGAAAGAAATCAGGAATTGTGAAGAGATTTTGGAGAAAAATTTTTGGTAGGAAAATTACAGTTTCATGAATGAACCTGAAATTTTATATGAAAAACATACGGGGCTTAAAGATCAAGTCTGTAACAGAGAAAATGTGTAGGAAGTGATAATCATGGAGATTTGCATGACCAGAGTGGATGTCTCTCTAGACTTAAGTATAATGATCTCTAGTTCCTGCACTCTTTTTGGCATAGTGTTCTACTTGTTCAGATTTTCTGCAGCTGATGTGAAATTTGAATTATGCTGTATATCTTACCTAAATACTCAATGAGACTGATTACTTAGTGTGCATGTGTTTACTATCCTCGATTACATTTCTAAATCATGCTGAGTGAAGTCTCAGATGTTAAATTTGTTAAATGTATTATCTAGGCATATAAACCCTGAATGTGAATTTAAATTCCTTAAAGGCTTCAGCTAAACAACTGTCTATCAGAGTTTCATAGTAAAGCCTTAATGAATGTGACTTCTTGTTGACTGATTAATATTTACTAGCATGATATCGTGAGCTCATTGCTAGTGTTGTTTTCTTCCAAAGGCTTCAGGTGTCCTTATCTTTTATCATGCATTTTTGGTTGGTAGAACAATGGTTTGCTATTATAAAATTTCCCATGATTTAATTATATATTGGCAAAAACTATGTTTTGATATAAAAGGTATTTCAAAAAATGCTAGATATTTTCAATGTTTTTGCATGTGTCTTGAAATGAGAAACTGATTGTCTTCTTAAAAATGACAACTCTCTAAACCCTAAGGTAGTTGAAATTAGAATAACACAATCAT